ATTTAAAGTAAAGAGTTAAAATTACAAATGTTCTAATTTCTATAAATAAACTTCAAACTGAAGAAATTAAAGTAATGTAATAACAGTTAAAATATATGATCTTTTCAATAACAATATCTGTATATCAAATGACTAATAGTTTACTATATTTCTATTATAGCATGTAGAAAAGCTAACACATCTGTTGAAACTAAGCATAATAAATTAAAGATAATTTTTCAAGTGTCTTCAGATATAACAACCAATGATGTCAACTTTTAAGTAAAAAAAATTACAAAATATATTTGAAATGCATACGTGAATTAAATATATTCAAATCAATTCAAAATTAACATAAAAACAATTTTTTTTTAAAATTAATATTTTATTTTTAATTTTTTTTTATAATTAAAAAAAACTAATCTCAGCACCACAAATTTTGGATCTTCTTCAAACCCCGCAGAAAGAGACACGTGTATGAGAAGAAAAAAAATTCGATCTATATATGTTTATATTTTTTTTACTGTTTATATTTTATTGTGCTGGAAAATTTTTTTTATAAGAATGTGGTGAGCTGACCATATAGAGCTTAAAAAGAATGACATATTTTTTCAATTGTTTTACCGAAATCAAATCAATTAAAATATGACAAAAATAAGTGCATCAATTTCTGTATATATTTAAGTTATATTATTTTAAATTGGAAATAAATTTAATACTTAAGGACTATTTTAAGTATTTTGTTCAATTGAAACTTAAGCTTTTCTTATTATTATGAATGCATTCTCCTAAATGTATTACTTAAATAATTTTGTAATCACATTCATTGGGGAAACCAAAACATATGTGGTTTATTATTGCATTTTTGATATTGCGAAAATAATTTTAAAATATATGTCATTGTCTCAAGAACTTTTACTACAATAATTAGAATAAGCCAGAATCATTACATCTTTTAATATAATCATCCATGAATTAATATTCTAGATTTCAAATAAATCAGATTGAGTTTTATAAATATAGAAATTATGTATTTAAAACTATTTAAGTGTATTTTTAAAAGAATTGTTATATTTTTCCCAAGCCTGATTTAAGTTTAAACAATTATTGCATGCATATTCTAATAGTAATATTATTATTATTGTTACTTTTATTAAAGTAGTCACGAATTGAACAATTGGGAAAAAAAAAAAGAGATATATATATATATATATATATATATATATATATATGCCTCTTTTTTAGACATCATATACTACGTAACAATATGGATCGGCATTCTTTATAAGTAGTCTACAGTTCGAACATTTAATATTGTCCTCCGAGAATCGGTATTTAAATGGTTTTAAAAATTATGAAAATACAGTATGTATCTTTCTTCTTTAAAAAAACAAATTCAAATGAAGTAAATACGATATGTACATTTTTATTTGTAAGAATATCTATTAATCTTATAACATTATATCCATTTAATCGAAGATATACATTTTTAAAAAAAATATGTTTAACAGCAATTTAAAAAAAAAAAGTTATCCAGGGTTTTGCCAAACATTGGATACATTTACGTAAATTTACAAAATATATTTTTTTACAAAAAAACTTTTAGAAAGGGAAAAAAATAGCATGCCTCTTTTGTTGCAAGTAATGAAACTATTTTTTTTCTAATTTTTAAAGATAAATTTCAAATTTTTATGAGAGAAAAAATAATATGTTTATAATAAACAATGTGTTGTGGATATTTTTAACAATACATAGTAAGCGTGAAAGAAAGAGAATTGAAACATTTTAATTTCTATGAAAATCACAATCATTTTACACTAATTAAGATTTAATCTTAAACATTAGCGATATTTCTTTCACTATGGTTAAGGGACTTGAACGAATACGGATTCAAATTTTGATTTTAAATATAAAAATTAAGTTCTTGGAAAAATGAGTGTACATTTGCATGATATTAAAATGTTTCGAAAGAAAACAACCAAAAACCTTACAGTTTAGATATTCTTTAATCCATAAGAATTTTGTGTTTTGTGATCTTTTGATTATGTAGTAGATGAATCTCTAGATGACGATAACAATAAATACATCATTTAAAATTACAGATATTTAGATTTTTTTAAAAAGTTAGTATGTAAATTAAAGGACATGGGATTTTTTTTTTTTTTTTTTTTTTTTTTTTTTGTGTGTGTGTAAATTCAGGGTCCTGAGATTTGGTAAGTTAGGCATACACTATAATGCAAATAAATATTTGTCAAATAAAAAATGATGCTAGAAAATTAATCATTAATAAACAGATAATAATGTTTACAACAACAATCTGATTAACTTTTTTCCTTAATATACCTTTTAAGGGTCCTCAATATTGTCATAAATATTTTCATATGCATGCGTGAAGCTTTGATTGTTATATGTTATTGCTTCGAAATAGCAGTTATAAAAGTTGGCAAATAGCCTGTCATTATTATCTGATTATATTTTCCTAGTGTTTATTTAATTTAAGCAAAACCTCCTCATTTGTGTCATAAATAACGATTATGCTTTCATTTGAGTGTAACATACAGTTTTAAAAAAAATAAATACTTAGTTCAAAAGAATTTGATGAAACAGATTATTTTGAATAAATTGAACATTTATTTTTAATTTTATATGATAATGGTGTCTGTCCAGTTATTTTTTCTTTTGTATTTTAAATTTCTTTTCTAGATATAATTTTTTTTCGAAAAATTATATGTATCCTTGTTTCTCCGTTAATACATACATATTTTTAAAATTAATTGTTCATCAACTTTAAAGACGCTGTCTGAAATGTACAATTACTTTTTAAAATGTTATAAGATCTCTTTCATTTTGAGCTAAAAGAACCAAAACTGTCTCTTTCTCACAACGATAAACGGAAAATTATGAAAAAAGAGAGCTTGTTGACTTGAAATTTATTGAGAATAAACAAATGATGATCGCATGAAACTCATCCTATCCAATTTATACTGTCGTACATAAAATAATGTATATATTATAAATGCGCCTTTTGATAATGATTTTACATAAATATGTACATTGGTTCTTCTACAAAAATTGTGGAAAGAAAAATGCATACACAATTTTTTAGAGTCTATTAAAACGTCACTAAGCAATAGGTACTTAACTTGTTTGCTGGCGTACATTTTCTCTTAGATTTCAAAATATGTGTGGCAAAGAGTAAAAAAAAAATTTAAAAAAATAAAAACTTAATTTTATGGGTCATCCCTAAAAGGTTTACACTGCTTCCTAAAACTATAGTGGATTCGGGAACTCCTCTATAAGAGACCCTAAACTAAGTCAACCCAAAATATTCAGCCTATTGCAGCATGATCTCTAAGATTTCCACTTTCAAAATTGACAAATATCCAACGCATCAAGTCTCTAACATGAAATAAAAGAAATATTACCTACTTAAAATTAAGCAACCAGTAAAATGGCTGCGCTGTAAAATGACATTTCTTTTGACCTAATACAAACATAAAAAGAGTTTAGTTGTAAATATTATATTACCCCGCACTGTTACCATCATATCTGTAATGTCCTGTAATGTAAATATTGATGTTAACACACAGTGGCGTAGCTAGGGTTGGTGCCTTCCGGTGAGGAAAATTCATGGTTTCACTCCCCCCCCCCCAAACCAGCCTGACCTCGACTTCCATGACGGGCGTCGTCTTGGTAAAATAAGTATAACAAGGACAATCACACAAAAAAATTAATTGAAGGTCAGGACGTAAAAATAATTAAGAAATATAACGAGTACTTAGAATCGCAAAACCATATCGTATTAAGTATCAATGGAATGCTTTATGTCTCAGAATTGAGATACATATAGGTTCTTTAGAAAGATATTGAAAATTTGAATCGGCTTTGAATCAGGGTCCAAAGCGTGTTTTTATGATCTAATTATAGGGTCACCTTATTTCTGACGAATCAACCATAAACTTTTAATAAAGCTCGCCTTTAGATTGGTTTTATGTGATGAAAATTGATGTGTGATGTTTTGTTCTGTCATGAAATTTGGTCGCAGCTGTGTGTGCTCTGTAAATGTGAGATTTGTCACCAGAATGCGGTCTGCTACACTCCCACCCCTCCCAAACCCAACCGCAGCCCATAGCAACGCCACTGATTCTAGAAACAGTGCTGATAGCTGTTTAAGTTTAAAAGCTATTAAAATATCTATTTATTGAGACACTAGGTCTGTTTACCTACATTCTTTCCGAAATATGAAGAAGCTGGGCTTCTCTCTGTATTAAAACACATGGGAAATTTAATTCGTACTTACGGAGATATAGATTACGCTGATATAGTAGATACTTTTCTTTAGATATATATTAGCAATGTTATCCTTTAAAATAGTTATATATAATATAATAATAGTATTTACATAAACGTGTATGACTTATCAATAAGATGTAAACGTATCTTAACTTATATCCAAGAATATCACGTCATTACTTTTGAGAAAAAAGAAAAGGAAGGATTACATGATTACTGTTAATAATTTTATTGATGCAAGGTCAATATTTAAAAAAAAAATATACATATAACTATTTTTATCACTCTCATACGATTAAAACATTGTTAACTGTGATAATCTAAAAAAAATATAATTTATTATTTAAAAACAGAATCTACATTTAGAATTTTTTTTTTTAAATTAAATCAGATCTAAAAAAAATACATATACATGTATTTTAACATTAGAATATACTTTAAAAAACTGGTCCAAGAAAATAATTTATGTGGCCGATATATTATTTTGGCTTATTATAAATTTGTGTCCTTATGGAATTTTAAAAAAAACAAATATGGCATAAAAAAGTAAATTAACATTTAATTAACACACATTTTTAGGCAAATATTCAATTGTTGAAAAAAAGGAAAAATAAATCTCTGACTACCAAAAAGTTTAATTTCAAATATGTTGTGTTAACTTAGAAAATAAGTAAATGAAAACTTAACAGTATAAAGCATTTACTAAAGGATAAAAAAAATATTTTGCAGTAGCATTGTACGCTTATAATGTTACAATTGACTGAGGAAAATTTTGTGAACTATTCTTTTAATTTATTATTTGAATGATTTTCTTTCTAAACTAATATTAAACTGATTAAGACTTATTCAAAGACTAAATTACAAACTCCGAAGTCTCAATGGCTAGTTTGGGAGTTCGAATGCATAAGGCAGAAGATCTTTGACAGTTTGTTTCTGGTAGGTCAAGTCAGGCTTAGTAAGGTAGACGTCATAGTCCTTCCCAAACTGAAACACACACAAAATATTAGTTGTAAAGTAAAAATTATATTTTATTTAAAAGAACTGACAATTATTGATTCATTTTTTCTCTTCCTCTTTTCTCTTAGCTTTAAAGAGCTCACAACGGGTTACTAATCTTTAAGTTATGATTTTTAAAACATTTTCAATGAGGTATCAACTCAAAAATTTGATTGACAATGATCATGGAAAAGAAAAAAAAAAATATGTACATCTCTAAAACATACAGCCATGAATATAATATATCTCTATTATGACTTATCAGTGATATTGCATAACTCTAATTAACTACATATTATATATATATACAAAATATTCACCTTCTAAATGTGCATTAGTCATCTAACATAAACGATAAGTAATATTGCATGCTTAAAAAATGTAACCGACCGATAAAGTGTTAGAGATCTAAAAGTGACTATTATCTTGCCCTACTTCAAACATGGCATACCTCTAACATGACCTGGCGGCATGCTCCACAGGGAGAACTAAAAGCTCTGACTTCATCGCTAAAAACAATTTAAAAAAATTAATTAAATTTAGGAGACGAGTGTTTTTGATGGTGCTTTTTTAAGGGTGGGGGAGTGTTAGTGTACTTTAATTAGCACACCAATCTTACAACAGTTGCGATGATTAACCAAGAAAAAAGAAGTTTGATTGTATTACCATGTTTCTGTTTATGCCAATAGTCTCCAACAATAAGTGAAAAATGAGATTTCTATAAGGCAGAAAATAACTAAAATAATAAAGATTTTCATTCCATGAAATTTTTCATTCCATAAATGCTTTCATTCGATGAAGTATTTCTTTACATTAAAGTGTTTCATCTGATTATGATTTTCAATCCATTTAGGCTTTCATACGAAAAAATTAAATGTAGAACAATAAACAAAACACCTATGATTTATTCAGTAGATGCCAGCATCTAATTAAATATACTGTCAAGTCTTTAAACACTCACTGTCTCCCAAAATTTAGTTATCATCTATCAACAACAGAGGCGGTGTGGATTTAAATGAAATCTAGTGACTTTCCTTCATTAATACACATTCACAATAATAATCACAAATAGATTAATACTTTTACTGATCTTATAGACCACTTAGAAAAATATTCTCCAATTGCTAACATCATAATCACAATACATTCATTATCTTAACATTAATAATATGGTCTTAATAATAACCACTATATTCTCAATCCTCTTTTTGTCCTCCTCTGATGGGTTTCTATTTTCAAGTGCTCATACCCTCTAAATTACCAATGATCATTCTCACATTCTTTAACTCCCTTGTAGATAAATATTATATGTGACATATCCATACTTCGGAAGTTTTCATTTCAAAAGATATATTAGAATTATGATTCTTTTCCTTCTGTTTTTACTTTCTAATTTACCCCCTCCCCCTCAATTAAAAATAGTCAGCTTCCATGTAAAATAAGATAGGTGTGTAACCAAACGTAATATATGATTGTCTTGAAGAGCCCCCTTTGCAGAGCACTTTAATCATCTTTGCTTTTATCTCTTCTTCTCTCTACATCACATCAAAATTACAATACCGACACGTTGTTATATCCAAAACAATCTGCTAATCCCCACCCTCCCCATTGTTTTATCTTTTCTTAAACACCTGTTGATCAATGTCAAGTTAAAATTCTAGCCATAGATTCACACAAATAGAGGATTTTGATAATGAGTTCTTGGCACTAAAATCTTTGAGAATACTTGGGTTAGGATTATTTTTTCAAGCTGTTTTATACATTTATTTTAATGCATTTGTGATACCAATTGGTTTAAAACATGTTTTTTTTTTAAAAAAACCATACCTAGTTGGAGTAACACGCTAAAATGATTCGATAACCTTTCTTTTACACTTTGCCTGCGGCTGGAAAGCCCGGCTGTTGTATAAAAAACCCCGAATCCTGGCCATGTGTGAGAAAAAAGTACACACTGCTCAGCCCCAATTCAAAGATATTTATGTTATTTATTTGCATGATTTTTTTTTTTAAATATATCTTCTTTTCTTTTCTTTTTTTTTTGCAACGCATCTAATGATGAAAGAAAATGACACGATGAGGTACGTACAAGGCAATAGCAATTGCCTGGAAATCTTTTTTCCCTTCTGACACCGCTTTGAAGATGGCTGTCCTTTCTGCACAGTTGGTCAATCCGTAGGAGGCATTCTCCACATTACAACCTAAAATTTAAAGCTTAACTATTAATTGAACTCTTCTTGTCACACTATGCTTCGCTACACGTTTATAATTCTTAGCTCATTACTATTTTAATGGTTACGGCTTTAAGAAAAATATATCAAATGGAATTTTAGAAATTGTAAAGATATGATAATAAAAAAGGGATTGTTAAAATACAATTTCATTTATACTTTTTGTTATGCACACAGAAGATTTTGCAATATCGGGTTATTCTTGAAAGAGTTCTGTAGTGAGTCTCTCTATATTACACAATTTCCGATGAAAGCCAGACCAAAATTAAGATATTTTTACATCGAAAAATCAAAAAGTACCTCAATGCGAATTAAAATAAACTTTGATTTTAACCAAAATACCAAAATGTAATGGAATCCAATTATTTTAAGTTTAATTTTTTAACCCAATGAACGTTATATTAAAGATGTTAAAAATAACAAAAGCAAGCAAATGACATCTAAACCATATTCAAAATATATTTTAAATTACATTATTACTATTTTTTTATATAAGAAGTATTTATCTAACTTTGAAAATGTAATAATAAGACATTTTAAAAAATCAAACTTAATTTTCTACTTGTCACCCGACGTACCAGTGTAGATAGTTCCATCTTTAGTCAAAAGTGCCGCCCCAACACGGAAGTTACTGTAAGGGCAATAAGCATTTGCCTTGGCGTCTCTGCTCTTGGTGATAAGGTTTGTAACATCATATGTTGCCATGATAACTATTTTGAAAAAAAAAATGTAATCTTCGATGAATGTGTTTAATGTATTTATGTTATATCAGCAAATGTTTGTCATAAAAAACTAACTGGTAACATTAACATTTAGTGGAAATAAAACAAAACAAAGGAGTAAAAAATATAATAAAAAAAAAAAATTAAACGATAAAAAAACATGTAAACACACACAATAAATAAATAATTAAGAAATTATAACCGGAACAAATACAAAATAGCTAAATTAATATATTCTAAATATTATATTCTTGTACGGCAATATTATGTTAATATATCACATAGGGCTCAGAATATGACGAATAATAAAAAGCATTATTTTTCTAACAGAACAAAAAACAAAACCAGAACAACAACAAGAGCAGCACATTTTAATGTATAATTTAAGTTAGAATTTATTTATATTTACAAAAAAAGGAAATTAGCCTCTTCTTCTTATATTTCAGGTGCCCACGATCAATTTGTTGATCATTCTGGCTCCTGGTTTTACATTCAGAGTTTACCTTCTCTTAGACAGGTTGCCGTCCAAGGCTAACGAGTCCCATCCACCCGGGTTGCTTGGGATGGCTTTGGTGGGGATTGAACTCCAGACCACCAGCTATTTCGTTTTTGAGACAGTTTAGACCGCTCGGCCACCCAGCAACACCAGCTAATTATACATAGAACAGTATCAGTTAAAGATATGTTTGAAACGCTTCTCAAACATATAAATTAACGTTGTGTACCTGAAGAAGTTGTAACTGTGAATCAGACTGTTCTGGGAACTTTTATGTCACTGTTAAGCTAGAGGATGACAAATCGCTATTCGGAGAAACACAATTTTTCAACTAGCATGGCGCCTTTTATACCAAGCATAACATTTGCTCATGACAAACATTATCCTGTATTGCAAACAGATTTTTTTTTATTTGATAAGCTATCACGATAAGAGATCTGAATATTATGTTATTATAAGACATTGAGTAAGTACATGTTTTTTTTTAAAAAGCAGAACTCGCAAGGATTCTTAAATTGCTGGATTGGTGCTTATAATTTTGTGGATAAAATAAAAATCGATCCAATGAATTTAGATTTTAAAGAAAAAAATGGTGAAAGTCATAACATTTTTAATTTGCAGGTTTTGAGCATTTTTAATATGTTATATTCCTAAATAATTACTGCCGAGACCTGCAATGGATGGGGTATATATTTTTTTCTTAGACATGTATATATGTATATATATATATATATATATATATATATATATATATATATATTTTTAAAATTAATATATCAATGTTGAAAACAAGAATGATATATATATATATAATAACAATAAAAAAAAAATATGTTATATTCCTAAATAATTACTGCCGAGATCTGAAATAGATGGGGTATATATTTTTTTCTTAGATATGTATATATATATATATATATATATATATATATATATATATATATATATATATAGTTTTAAAATTAATATATCAATGTTGAAAACAAGAATGATATTTACATATATAATAACAATGAAAAAAAATGTTCAAGTTGAAAAAGCGTATCATTTTTATTTTATTTCCAAAGTATATGATAGCAATTGAAGCATCATATAAGTTTTAACTTTACTGACTAATCACTTTTCATCACTTTCATTTAACCAGGTAAATATTGTTAATATATAAATATTTTCATTTTGTGTTTTGTACCACACATTGAGAATCTATGTCTATATAAATTCCATATACCAGAATGTTGAAATACATTAGTCATAAATGCATTAAAAGCATTTATAGTTTAATTTTTGATAAGAGTTTTTTTCAGTTCTTGCATATTCCCGGTTGGCAAAGTCAAATCGTGGCAATCTCTTAGCAGTTCTGAACTTATCAAAATATTTTTTTTTCCTCTAAAGTATATTGACAAGAAGTTGTATGGAACATAAAAAAATGTGATTGTTTGACGGTTCTTAATACCGACTGTCAAACATTCTAATAGCTGAGTCTTAAATTTTGTTTCTTTAATATGCCTGGTTTTTTATTTAATTTCTAAAAAAAATATAAATTTCTTATAATAAAGACTGATTCTCATGGATATAGGATTTTCCAGCCATGAGAGTACTATTATTATCGCTCAAGACATAACCATAGTCTTGTTTAATTTATTTTATTAGCTTTACAGACATTCCGATTGTCAGCAGAATTTTCCCTTTTGCGAGTTGATACTACTGAAAATAAGATTTTATGAGTTTAGTTTTTTTAAACAAATGGTGGGGCTAAAAAGTTGACGTAAAATAAAGGAAACCATTACAATTACAAATGAAGATATCACTTAGGTTTACCAGCCAAGCAAACACCAAAGTGCTAAATTATTCAGTTAATGACGACAAAATCACACGTGTCATTGTGACATAACGACTTGCTATATTTAAAAGAAAAAAAAAATATTGCTTACGTCAGTTTGAAAATAAATATAAAAAGGATAAAAATGATTGTTACCAAAAAAAAAAAAATAATGGACCCAAAGATAAGGTAGAGAGTTAATCCACCCACTTCAACTTTATGTCAATCGTAATAAAGAAGGAAGTTATGGGGCGCTAACTCTTATCACTGACAGGGTCGTGTTGTATTAATAGAAACGCCGAGTAGACATTTTTCAACTTTAAAAAGACAAGAAAGTGGCATTGGGAACACACACACAAACGCACACGCACGCACATACACAAACACACATACATACACACATCTATATATATATATACAAATATATATGTATATTATATATATATATTGCATATAGAGAGAGAGAGGGAAAAAAATGTATTGGCATGTGTGAGTTTGTGTTTAAATGATGAAAGTGTGTTATTTAGTTACATATTGCATTCATCATGTGTACATGTATATAAACGAACCATGTGTATTTTGCTTAAAGCCAATGGTCAGTGATGTTTCCTTTATTTTTTCAATGTAACTAGCTATGGAGAGGTTATTGTTGGAGAGCAGGCCCGTTGGAACGATTTAGAGCGATGCGGATGTGCTTAGGACAGGGGTCGGCAAACAACGGCCCACAGTCAACATCCTGCCCAATGACTTCAATTCTACGGCATGCGGAGGCAAGGTGTAATTTTGAATTCACAGAAAAACATACCTTTATGCATAATAAAAAGACTTGCATGTTAAAAATTGCCTTTTGAGGGGCATTTTAAAAATATTGCTATGTTAATTTTGAATAACACAAAATTCAAATGCCATACAAAATTATGGTAAAACACATGCAGTTAAAGATAGAAAATAGCTGTCTAAATGTACAAGTCTGTTAAAAATGTGGGCTCTTAAAAGAACTTACTCTCATATTATTATCAAATACTATGATAAGTTATGTGTCATTAGCAATTCAACCGTTAAAAATAATACTCATACTGATGCCTTCGGGTCGTGGGTGAGTGACATTGATAACAGGACCAAACTTATTCTGAAATATATTATATTAACAATCTAATAGTTAAACCGTTTTCCCTAAAAATCGTGAACTTGTCTTCACCGACACTGAGACATTGGATTTCCTCGAGAAACTGTCTTCAATTGCCATTTAATTCATATCTTGTTCTAAAAAATCAAAATGCAAGGTTTGTTTCTTGGTCAGATTGTCCAGACTTCATAAGACCAAACAGTTTAAAACAATTCGTCAAGGCTTTTTACGATGTTTTTGTGAAAAACAGTAGCCCCTGGCAAACTTGTTGACTCACGCGTGTCAGGTATCGGTAACCTGAACTGGTTTTCATCAGTATTCAAACGCAGTTTTTTGTCACACGACTTAAAGTTTATTCAAACATAATAATACAAATATTAATAATAACGTTTATTTAAAAAACACTTCATCCCAAAAGACTCGAAGCGTGGTACAAAGTCAACCATATTAAAAAAAAAATGTATATAATTTACCCCATTTAAAACAAACGCAACACTACAAAAACTAATTACACGCATACTAAGTCAACACCTTTCTACTCATTTCAACCATAAGTAACACAGCCAATATGCATTAACTGGAAAATATGTTGGACACAATCAACCCAGAAGGTGTTTGCGAAGTAGATGTGTCTTTAAATCGGTTTCAAAGGACTCAAATGTTTGGTTGTTTCTGAGAACTACAGAAAGGGCTTTCCAATTGTTGGGCCAGCAAATGCGAAATTCTGCTTTCCGTAAGTCTCAAGGCGAACACGTGGTGTTCACACGAGTTTGCCACTATCGGATGAGCGGTGTTGTCTAGTGGGTACATAAGGCGTCAGCAGCTCTTTGAAATAGGACAGCGCAAGGTCATGTAAGCAGCGGTAACACAAAGTTGCAATTTTGTACTCTATGCCAGCGCTGACGGGCAGCCAGAACAGCTTTCTCAGAAGTGTTTTTGCATGGTCGAACTTGCGTTTGCGAAGAACAATGCGTGCCACATTTTTATGTACTTTTTAAATTGTATCCAGGAGCGCAGCTGGAAGACCCACCATGAGAGAATTGCAGTAGCCCATGCGTGATAGCACAAATGCAGATATCAGCCTCTTTGTTGCATCAATTGTTAAGAAGGATCTGATGTGACGCATCATGCGCAGCTCTAGAAAAATCGCCTTGCATAGCATGTTAATGTGACTTTCCAAAGTTAGTGTTCTATCTAGATAGACACCCACTGTTTGAACTAACTCAATACGCACAACTAAGAGAGTAAGTGATTTTGTGTTATTTGCTGATTTTTGCTTATGAGCTGTCGCAATGTGGATCAGCTCTGTCTTATCATCATTCAATTTGAGCTTGTTTATAGTCACCCAGTGCTTAACTGACTCCATTGTCTTCTGTGTCATACTGAGAACCTAAGGGAATTGTGAGGGGATCACGGATTGATGAAGTTGGGTGTCTTCCGCGAACATGTGATATTGAATGTCAAACTGCTTGATCACTGCACCCTGGGGCTTAATGTACTTCGCGAAAAGCACCGGTGCAAGGACTGAGCCCCGGGTTACTCCGAATTCGATATAAGATTTCTTCGAGGCCAAGCCGTTTGAAATAACTGACTGGACCCGATTTGTCACATACGATCGGAACTATCTCAGGATGGTATCAATGAGACCGAATGTTTTTTGCACACGTAGAAATGGAATAAAAAGAAGCTGCTAGCCAAATGTGATTTATTTGGCTTACTACACGAGAAGTTTGACATGATCTGCAATAACCTACTACATCATTCTTTTCTTTGGGCCAATAGATGTACGAAAATTTTTGCTACTGGTTTTGTTGACTCCTTACTGAAGATGTAACTCAAGGAATAAAGTAAGTATGTTATTCCGCGAAGTATGGTTACTATTTTTTTTATTAAATACCCTAAATTATTCTCGTTACTTCTGCTTCGGGAGTCTTCATTTTTTAAAATTAATGATCTTATTTTGTGTTTAGGAACATATTCATCTTCTTCTTTAGCCGAAGCGTTCTTATAAAATTTAAGAATGTGTGATCGCTTTTCTGCTCTTTAATAAGCTGAATCTGAATTGGTGTCTTGTGATTATTCATTTCTTCATAGAAATTTTCTAAGAATTTTGTTCCCAAGTAAAAATAGATTTTAAAAAAAAAGAACAAGGTTTGATTCAATCTTTCAAATCATAGCCTTCATTACACCACATGCTGGATATAACTTTCGATCGTCATCTTGAGATGCAGTTAAATAAGTTTCATGAGAAACGATGAGTTCTGCTAGCATTTTCCCACCAGTTTTGTCATTTCTGAAGGCAAAGAAATGCGGTCCAATGATATACGTTTGTATGACATCCACATCCATATATCCGAATAATTGATC